CTTAATTATGTTTAATGTTGACTTCCTCAACATAGGACTTTAAAAATTAATTATTTCCAAAGTTTTCTCTTTACCACTCTTTGTACTCAAATTTCAGCAGCATATATTTTTTTGATCCATAACTCACGAGATTTTGATCAGAGAAAGTGAAATTAAGTAATGTGCAATTTCATATTAGCATCATTCACTTAACAAGATTTAATCAGTCAATTGACTTACTGGGTTAGAACGTCATGTCTGTTATTGTGATGTGCTTTGCAAACCTCCGGTATAGTTAGATGAACAAAGGGAGGAATAAATCCTTCAGACATTTTTTTATGGGACAAAATACATTCATTTCTTTCTGGATCAGCCGTAGAACAGCAGTCATGAAAGTCATATTTAACTGAAAACTCTACATCACGACATAGAGTATCCAGGAAAATTGTACCCTAGAACACAGAAGCAAAGTGGCTCTTAAATAAGCATTCCTTAGCAGTGATTTATATAAGTAATTTCCATGTCAAGTGATATGGGTTTTGGGGAAAATGAGTTATAAATCCATATTCCATTAAACCTTGTTTACGGTAGATGATATGAAATTCAGATCCAGGTCCATATATGGCACATCAAATATTTTCTGCTTCTCTATCTACATACATGTTTTCCCCCAAAAAGACATCATGGAAAACAAGAAATGAGAATTTTTTTTTGTTAAGCAGTGTGTTTCTGCCCATCTTTCTATTGCTCCACAGGTTTATTATGATAAAGTGGTCCACAGAACAGGGTTCATGGATTTAGATGCCAAAGTTTATCTTTGTGTGTGTTTCCAGTGTGTCTGTGTATATGCACACACACATACACGCACACACACACATGATACAGTACTTCAGGTGGTAAAATATACTATTTCATACCACTTCCTGTTCACATATACCTTTCATTTAATAACCATTTTGCTAGACTGGTTGTCAGCAAGCGATTATGAGCTAAGTTATAGTTCTCTTTTACAAATGGGGAGTTGGGGCTGAAAGATAGAAAGAAAGAAGGAAATATTGGGCTTAAGATCACACAGAAATTCTTCCTTCAATAGCTTTCTATCTCAAAAGTGTTAAAGACTCTAACAAGCTATATTAGAAAGCAGAGTAATGGGTTCCATATGCTCTGAATGTTATTTGTAGCTTTGGCCATGCCACCTGGTGAATTCTGGAAGCTGAAGTCTATGCATCTCAGAGTTGCCAAGTGGGAAAACACTGAGTTAAAGGGTAGACAACACTTATTCAGAAGTAGGTAGCTCTGAGTCTTTGCTGAGTAAGTTTGCCTAAGATATCCAGCAAAGAGAGCATCCTGATGGGCGTCAGAATAGATAACTGGGCTCACACACTGTGCTAGGCTTGTTTGATTTTGGATTAGTGTAGGACCTTGCCAACTGCAACTTGTTCAACAACCCACATTAATAAAAATGTAGCTTAGTGCAGAAGTAAGCAATGTTGGGGGATACCATCAGCATGTACAGGCCAGATATCTCAGGCTGGTTGGGATTCTGAAGGAGAGAAATGTTAAGGGTTTTGAATTGGAGGAAAATTGTGTCCTTAGGTGTGGAGTTAATAATGCACCCATTTTACCTTTAAATATATGCCAAAAAACTGTAACTGAATGGGTCTGTAAGCACTCAATTAATACATCTATATGTACCCCAAATGTAGCTTCCAAAGGCTTACCAAAGGCTTTGTACATTCTGGGTCTGAATGTTTATCAGCAGCACATTTCTGGTGAAGTGCTATAATCATTTTTGCCAGTTTTAACACCTCCTCAAGTGTGGCTTGCTGTACATTTTGAGCGTACAAGGCTATGAGACTGGAAAAAAGCACAGGTGATTAAGAAAACAGTTTTGCGAATAGCAACATATTCAACAATGAAGTCTCTGCTGCTCTCTGAACTTGGTTGTTTGCTTGCAGACATTTCATTACCCTGCTAGGTAACATAATCAGCACCAAGGATTCCAGAGTTCAATTCTTCTATTCAACAAACACATGGAGGATATAGAAAAGCAATGGGAGGTGCTTGGATTCTAATTTCCTCTTGTTCTGACCCTGAGAGCTTTAACGTCATGGTTGTCAGATCTTAGGAGAAAAGCAAGTATAGTAGTAGAGAAATTCTCCTTTCTGAAATGGAAAACAAGAATCTAATAATAATTTATAGCAAAATTTTCTGAAAGACTTACGCGCCTGCAAACTCCTCAGATGATATTATAGTGGCAACTTTGATGGTCTTAATATGATCATCTGTAAAGAAGACAGTAAACAAATTTTTACTCACTATTCCAGGCAAGAATTGTTAAATATTGTGCCCTTGAAAAACTTCTAATTAAGTATGATGGTGTGATACTATATTGATTTCTCTTGTAATTAAAAAAAAAAAAGATAATACATGTACCACAATGTGATATGCATAATGTTTCCTTATCCTCATGCTCAACTTCCAGGAACTACTTGAAAACATCTCAGGTGGTCCTCTTGGCAACACGGCAAATTGGTTTTACCATTTCCTTCTCCTCAGAAGTTGGTTTTATGCCTCAGTGTAACCTCCATTGTCTCTGCTATTTCTTAATGGTCTATTATTTTAGTACTAGCTAAGTATGACCCTGCTTATAATTTTGAAATCAACCAAGTCAGCAAGATTCTGCAGAAAAGGAAGCTTCTTAGTAACTTCTCCTAAACATCTAGTAAATGTTTACAATAATATTCTTGATTGCAGGAGATATCAGGGTCTGGAATAAAAAATGTCATGATTCGGGGCATGTAAAATATTTAGATATTCAAGAGAATTAGGCACATAAATACCATTTTGAATTTAATGTAGGGAATTTTTCACCCTCTAAATATTGCTAAAGCATAACAAGCAGATCCTGGTTGGGCTGAGATGTCTTTTATAGACACCTTTAACACTAAAACAAACACAATTCACTGGGAAGTTCTTGGATAAAAATCCAATTAAAAAGCAAAGGATTTATACATTTGGAAGAGAAATTAGGATATACCCTGGAAAATTCTATTGAAGGAACACACAATTTCTTGGGGACTAAGCCTTTACTCTTTGTTTTCGAAGTAGCACTACAAACTGAATACAATTCTGAGGAATGAAATGAAGAAGTGAAGAACTGATCTTTTCAAAAGAGAGTCAGAAAAAGAAAACATCATACCAACATGCCAATATCTTCTGGGCAGGTTTTTCAATTCAGCAAAGCTTACCAAGCAGAGGACAGAAATGAATATTACCCACTTCATGGTTCCAAATTGTTTAGGGCTAGAATGGACAAAGTAGGGAGAGCACCTGGACAAGTGGAACTTTTATACTCTGTTGCCCTGGATTGTGGGGTAATCACCACCCACCTTACCCTATACCCATCGGAAGGACAAAAGAAACATCCCTGTTAATAATTACTGTGATAAAATATTTGCCCATTTTGTTTGTTAAAGAGATCTGTTCCCTCAAGAAATGTCTACTCTTTTTTTTTCAGACCATGAATAAATAGACTTTAGGCTTATCATACTTCAAAGAAGCAAAATAAACAGTTTTCTCTCTAGCCCTACAACCCCAGGCCCTTCGACATTTTGTCTAAAGGTGAATTGAATTGATGTGAGTGGCCTAGTGGTTCTTTGTCAGGTTCAGAGCAAAGGTCTATCATGTCAATCTTCAAGGCTACGTGTTTGAGCAAACATTTGATCTTTTGCAGCTGAATCTGAAAATCTGGGATAGAGTCAGGTAACTTCTAGAATGATAGAATGACAATCATCACCAGGCCACACACACACACGTGTGTGTGTGTGTGTGTGTGTGTATATATACAAATATGTCTATGTGTAACCTCTTCATTGAAGTTTATGGACATTACCTATCATGGTGGTCCAATACGGGTTGGTAGAGGAATGTTTTTCGGCTCTCCTCAGTTTAGGGCTGAGAGAAAATGACTGGCCCAAAGTCGTCCAGCTGGCTTGTTTGCATCAAGGAGGAATAGAACCTGCATCTCCTGCTCCTAGTCCAGCACTCTGTGTGTGTCTGCATTTTTTATTATTACTACCATCATCATCCCTAATCAATCTTGCAGGCTGTTAGATAGATGGTTTTCAGATTCCTAATTCAGGAAAGAGACTATAATAATGTACAAAATGTAATTCAGTCAGGAAAAATCACTTGCACCGAAAGCCACTAAAAGAGAGTGGCTAGCCCAAAGTCACCCAGTGGCTTCCATGCCTGAGGGAGGACTAAAACCTGCATCTCCCCTCTCCGAATCCAGCACTGTAACCATGACTCTACACTGGCTGTCATTGATATATATTTCTTACTGATAATAATTGTTCTTACTTTGTGCAAAAAGGTTCATTTAGTGTTGGCTCCATCACTGAAATTGCCAATGCTTTATGGATTATATAGCTCCTATGCATGCATTTTGAGCTTCATTTTACATCAAATGAATGCTCACATAAAATAGCATTGGATTTTGCTGAAGTGAGAATGGGGGGAAAATGAAACTCACTGCCATAACTGTGCAGCAATGAATGTTGTGTAGGAAAGAAGTATGCGTTTCTTTATTAGGAGAAACAGAGTAGGGCTGCAAAAATTGGGATGACCACTAGATCTTATACTGGTGAATATGGGTTTTCTGTATTTGCTTTATCTTGTGGTTGTCTGATTTCTGCAATTAAGATCTAGTTGCTCAAGAAGATGCACTTCCCAAAAAGATAGATTTCCTTGTGTAACAGTTCGTTGTTAAGTCATCAGTTTTCAGGTTTCCTCACCACTTCTTTCAAGTGCAAGACCTTGCCCTAGGTCATCAGTTTTCAGGGGTTCCTTAACCACTTGCTCTGCTAACCTAGGCAGGCCGAAAACTTCAGTAGAAAATTCTGCCTTTTCAGTTTGGTCTAACACTGTTTTTAGCTGATTCCATATTATCTCGCCAGGTCCAGTTCTAAGTGTTGATAAATATGTGTTCAACCATAGTTTCAGCTCTTCACTTCTCATAGTAATAGACAACTAACAACTGAGTTCCTCTATTCATCCCTAAAGTGTCAGAATTTGTACATTTCTGTTTTTCTCTCTCTCTTTCTTTGTGTCCCTCATTTCTCCATATATAGACTTTGGTGTCTGAAATTTTGCCTATTGTACACAAGTTTTACAAGTGATTTGCCCTGATTTAATTACACAGTGTACATTATTTGCCAAAATACATCCAATTGGTGATGCTAGTTTTTGCTCCATTTCTGTGTAATCCATGACCTTACAGGATGCTTGGCATCGGACCTTCCTCTGTCATTAAAGAAGAGAGGTTGTTAAAAAGTGCTAACTATTCAGTTTATACTAACTTAGACTAAAATATAGGGGGAGCCATCAGGACAACATAAACTGGTTTCGACAATTCCTTGGGGGGCAGTGGTCCACCACCTGAACTAGCTTGGGGCTAACTGGACCTCACATGATATACCTAAGGCTGCTTTCTGAAGGACAGGAAAATTATTTATTTATTTATTTTTTACCATTATTATGCTTTTATTTCTACATATTATTTTT